ACGAGAGAACATGAGGAGAGCTTCGGGATAGCAACGGAAAGCAGGTAGTCTACCGGACCCGCGCTCCACTCAGTAATTCATACTTGTTCTATCGTCCAACAGCAGAAACAAAAATATGTGAATGATAAAAATGGCATGAATTCGATTCTATCAATTCTATCAAAATACTAAGTATGTGCTCAGAGGACAGAGCCTCAGCTGTTCATACTGTTTTTAGCTAGCTACACAGACCGCAGCCAGGAGGCAGTGAGAACTGGACTGGCATGGTAATTTGAACGAAGTTGTTAACATAATTAAATTGAATTCAATACGGCTAAATTAATAACTGGAATGATTTTAAGTGGTAACTATATATTTATCATAGTAATGTTACGTACAGTCCAGACTAAAATGGTAGCGAACAACTACAAGTACTTATCTCTGAGGTAGAAAAAAAATATTTTTCAGGTCCAATATGTTTGTGGTGTTAGCGGGAGATATTAACCTAGTCATCTATCCTGAATCTTGTTTCTGGATGACTGGACTAACCTAAAATGACCAATACTGGAACAACAAAATGCAGTTTAACATCCAACTATGTGGAATAAGCAGTAAAGTGTAATGTGGTGTGTACAGTAAGTATAATACATAGAATATGAAAGATATGAAAGAGCTAAGGTTTGAAAAGTAGGCCTAACTTATTGAATAAACAGTCAATATAAACAGTAACAATCTTTCAAAATATGTCTTTGTGTCCTTTATAGGCAGGAGTGAGTGATGTCAGGAAGACGGTGCCAATTCAAAACTTTTCAAAACTGGCTTTTTGCTAGCCCCAAGACTCTCTGCCTGTGTGTTGGGGTTTACCCCAGTGGACGAGAGGGTAGCTTCTCTGTGCCTTCGGGTCGGGGAACGGGTCCTTACTGTAGTTTGCGCTTATGGGCTAAATACCTGTTCAGAGTACCCACTCTTTTTGAAATCCCTGGGACGAGTGCTAGATAGTGCTCCATCAGGGGACTCCATTGTCCTGCTGGGGGACTTCAATGCTCACCTGGGCAATGACAGCATGACCTGGAGGGGTGTGATTGGGAGGGATGGCCCGCCTGATCTGAACTCGAGTGGTGTTTCATTATTGGACTTCTGTGCAAGCTGCAGTTTGGCCATAACGAACGCCATGTTCGAACATAAGGATGCCCATCGGTACACTTGGTACCAGGGCAGCCTAGGTCGCAAGTCGATGATAGACTTTGTAGTCTTATCATCTGACCTACGGCCGTATGTTTTGGATACCCGAGTGAAGAGAGGAGCGGAGCTGTCAACTGATCACCATCTGGTGGTGAGTTGGATCAGATGGCAGGGGAAGATGCTGCGTAGACCTGGCAGACCCAAACGCATAGTGAGGGTCTGTTGGGAACGCCTGGCAGAAGAACCTGTCAAGACGGTCTTCAACTCCCACCTCCGGCAGAGCTTTGACCGTGTCCCGAGAGCAGTGGGGGACGTTGACTCTGAGCGGGCCTTGTTCCACTCTGCGATTGTTGAGGCGGCTGTTGCTAGCTGTGGTCGCAAGGTGGCCGGTGCCAGTTGTGGTGGTAACCCCTGTACCCGCTGGTGGACACCAGAGGTTCGGGGAGCCGTCAGGCTGAAGAAGGAGGCCTACAAGGCGTGGCTGGTCTGTTGGTCTCCGGAGGCAGCAGACAGGTACCGGATATCCAAGCGGGGTGCAGCAGTGGCAGTTGCCAAGGCAAAATCTCGGGCGTGGGAGGAGTTTGGTCAGGCCATGGAGAAAGACTATCGATCGGCTCCAAAGAGGTTCTGGCAAACTGTCCGACGCCTCAGGAGAGGAAGGCAGCAACTCACTCACACTGTTTACAGTGGGGATGGGGAGCTGCTGACATCAACTGGGGCTATGGTCGGATGGTGGAAGGAATACTTTGAGGAGCTCCTCAATCCCACCTACGCGCATTCCGAGGAGGAACCGGAGGCATGGAGATGGACTGTCCAATCTTGGGGGCAGAAGTTGCTGAGGTAGTCAAACAACTACACAGCGTCAGAGCCCCAGGGGTGGATGAGATTCATCCTGGGTATCTCAAGGCTATGGATGTTGTAGGGCTGTCGTGGTTGACATGTCTCTGCAACATTGCGTGGTCATCGGGGGAAGTTCCTGTGGAGTGGCAGACTGGGGTGGTGGCCCCCATCTTTTAGAAGGGTGACCAGAGGGTGTGTTCCAACTATAGGGGGATCACACTCCTCAGCCTCCCTGGAAAAGTACTGGAGAGGAGGGTCTGATCGATAGTGGAATCTCAGCTTGAGGAGGAGCAATGTGGTTTTCGTCCTGGCCGTGGAACTGTGGACCAGCTCTATACCCTTTTAAGGGTGATGGAAGGGGCATGGGAGTTTGCCCAACCAATCCACATGTGTTTTGTGGATTTGGAGAAGGCTTATGACTGTGTCCCCAGGGGCACTCTGTGGGGGACGCTCCAGGAGTATGAGGTGGGTGGCTTCCTGTTAAGGACCATTCAGTCCCTTTACCAGAGGAGCGTGAGTTAGGTCTGCATAGCTGGTAGTAAGTTGGACCTGTTCCCAGTGAGGGTTGGACTCCGCCAGGGCTGCCCTTTGTCACCGGTTCTGTTCATTACCTTTATGGACAGAATTTCTAGGCGCAGCCGTGGTGTGGAGTGTGTCGAGTTTGATGGCAGGAGAATCTTGTCTTTGCTTTTTGCGGATGATGTGGTCCTCCTAGCTTCATCCAGCTCTGACCTTCAGCTCTTGCTGGGTAGGTTCGCGGCCGAGTGTGAAGCGGCTGGGATGAGGATCAGCACCTCCAAATCTGAGACCATGGTTCTCGACCGGAAAAGGGTGGCTTGCCAACTCCGGGTCGGGAGAGAGGTCCTACCTCAAGTGGAGGAGTTTAAGTATTTCAGGGTTTTGTTCACGAGTGAGGGTAGGAGGGATCGGGAGATCGACAGGCGGGTTGGTTGGGCGTCTGCAGTGCTGCGGACGTTGAGCCGATCTGTCGTGGTGAAGAGGGAGCTGAGCCAGAAAGCCAGGCTCTCGATTTACCGGTCAATCTATGTCCCAATCCTCACCTATGGTCATGAGCTTTGGGTAATGAACGAAAGAACGAGATTGCGGATACAAGCAACCAAAATGAGTTTCCTCCATAGGGTCGCCAGGCTCAGCCTTAGAGATGGGGTGAGGAGCTCGGACATTCGGGAGGGACTCTGAGTAGAACCGCTGCTCCTCCAGATTGAAAGGAGTCAGTTGAGGTGGTTTGGGCATCTGGTCAGGATGCCTCCTGGACGCCTCCCTGGGGAGGTGTTTTGGGCATGTCCTGCCGGCAGGAGGCCCCCGGGTCGACCCAGGCCACGTTGGAGAGGTTGCATCTCCATTCTGGTCCGGGAACGCCTTGGGGTCCTGGTGGAGGTGGCTGGGGAGAGGACGGTCTGGAGCTCCCTAGTTGGGATGCTGCCCCTGCGACCCAGACCCGGATAAGCGGAGGAAGACGACGACGATTTCATTCAGCACAGTGGATTAACCTGGTTCAGTTGCTGAGCAGAACAAAAACAGGACATGGAGATGACTTGATGATGCCACAATGTCACACCTCTGGTATGAACTAAAGTAGAGAATAACTTCTGTTTTAGTTGTGTTGCATTGTAAGTAGAGGAAAGCAGGTGGGCTTGTGAAAGACAAAAATCTTTCCACAACTATATTGTCAAAATAACGGTGTGGGTAGGTACAATATCATATCTGTTTCTAAATATATCGGGATATCGGCAAACCGCAGTTATGATAACTTGACTTGTACACTGAAAAATTCTTGAAAATGTCCTGGAAAAGTCCTGGAAAATTATTTCAAGAAAAGAGTGGGAACCCTGATCTGTTTTGTCATCCGGTGACGCACTGCGGCCATCGAGCAGCACGCACTCCGCTGTTTTTGCAGTCGTTAGATCTTTTAGAACTGCAATTCAAAGGTAACTCATGAGGTGAATATATATGAACCCAGGTAGCAGTTTTTCTTTAGGATTGAGAGGAGATGCAGGAAGATAATAAACAGGCAGGACAGAAAAATAGTCAAATAAAAACAAGTTAGTTTTTGTACCTGGTGGTTGCAACAGACACCATTGAAGGTAATCAGAAGTGAGGAACAGAAAATGAAATAATTATTTTAATGTTTAGAGCAGCAGGAACTCCGAGAGGCTGCAGGCGCATCAGTGAGTTTGCGGCCGCTGCGCAGGGGGAGGGGGAGGGGGGAGATGGCTGAAGCAGAAACTACCGTTGTTAAATGTGTTTAACTTTGAAAATGTGGGCGCTTCAGGTGTATGACGTCATCAACGACTAGTCGAAGTCCACTAAATTTTCATTACTTGACTGTCGACTTTAAAAAAAAATTAAGTCATGCAACCCCTAGTTCGGAGGTTCTGAAACTCCTGGAGTAGAACCTCAAGCAGATTAAGTCGCCCCTCAAATCCCAGAAGCCGTTCATCTATAGAATCTAGTAATTCTAATATGTCCTTATGGGGAGATGAGGCCTCAGGCGATTCCTGAGGACGGCTCCTCTTGGTCCCAGGTGTTTCGGTCTCAGCTGCTGATTTCTTCGGACCCATAAAGAAAAACTCAAAAACTTTGTCAATATAGTTTTGTAAACTTTCTAAATTGTCTCCACTTACCTCCAGGTTGAGTGAGTTATACTTACCAGATACTTTTTTGCATTGTCAGTAGATAAATTAGGCGAAAATGTGTCTTAATTGTTTGTGGATGTTTGCTAACGAGCTGCCATCAGCTTCATACGCTGCCGTGTATCCGGTGATCGGCAGTCAGCGCATGCTCAGCCGTCCGCTCAGTGGTTTCTAGGATGGAGGGTGTTTCAGACTCCAGAGTTCCTTTGAGAGATTACATCTCATGACTGGTCAGGAACACCTTGAAATGGATAACTTTTAGATTCAACGATGAAGCACTTTAAATGCACCTATCCTATCTTGATTTAATAAATTAAGTGTAGGTCCCGCTACTGTCTCTTACAGGGGGAGTGAGGAGCAGAGGGACAGGACCACAACCAGCACACTGCCCAGAGAAAAGAGGAGGAAAGGCTTCCAACAGGTAAACTCCTGACTTCAAATTACAGTTTGGCTTTTTAAGGTGAACTTGTGTTATTTCACAGATACTTCAGCTATGTTAGTTCATCATTTGTTTGTTTAAATCTGACAGACGTCTGGAGACAATAACCCTCACTTTGTCCTCCTCCTGTGGAGCGAGGCGGTCCTGTCAGGGAGAGGAATGTATTCCTGTTACTCTTTGTCTCTCCCAGGAGAGGAAAATCTCTCAGCTCGCACTGACCTAATTTTTAAAATAGCTCATCTATACAGCAGTCACATTCTCTCTCTCCTTCTGGTCTTGAAGACAGAGGGACCACCCCCACCTCCTGTTTACTTGTCTCTCCATCACTATCTGCGTTTACATGCGCCAAATTTCCCCTATCCGATTGAAACCTTGGTTGATCTCTGTTTACGTGGACAATAACTGAAATTATCCTAGCATGCCATGAGTATACATGCACCAAGCACTCAGATTAAATAGGTTGAACATGCGCATAGTTGTCTTTCCTGGGAAAAATGTACACAAACACCATCTTGTCCGCACGTCTTTCCCCTCCCATTTTATTTTCTTATTCTCCAGCTTTGTCTGTTGCATATGTTTTCCCTCGTTACGCACCTTTGCATTTTGACCTGTATGCTTTTGTTTTTACTGATTGCTTTAACTAAGCTACATGTTCAGCAGGATAACGTACTAATGATCACCCGCTCACACCATCCTCCTGCTTCTCAGACTTGTCCTGAGTGGCTGCAAAGGCAGAAATATGTCATGCTGAAGTTGCACACATGCACAGTGGGCAATATTTTACTCCAACAATCTGAATGGGCGCGTACATGAATTTTTGATCTCATAGGGCATGATTCCCATTACTTGCACCCATGTAAACGTAGTGTTTTGTACCTGACATGAGATTAAAAGCTTATGCAAGTGCCTGTAATGGTTACGTTGACTCTGCCCGTCATGAGCACAAAACATCTCACATGAATCTTTGTGCTTACATGGTGAGCTTTTGAAAACTACATCCTTCCCTCTTAATAGAACAACTCGAACACGTCTGTCTAGTTTAACAGCATTATTACTGTCAAAACTGGCTTTGATTCTGATGTTCAGATGACCCAATGAAGACCATAGAGGAAGCTTAGATGGTCTCAGAAGACTTCACTCATGATGTTGTGTTCTCGTGGAAAAGTCACATTAAAAATTCACGAAGATGTTGCTGTTTGGAGGTGTTCAGAAAGCCACTGAGCTATATATATATAAATATATAGGTCTGAGTATTTCATAACCTGCTCAGTTACTGGGATTTTCACCCACAACCATTTCTAGGGGTTACAAAGAATGGTGTGAAAAGGGAAAAACATCCAGTATGCAGCAGTCCGGTGGGCAAAAATGCCTTGTTGATGCTAGAGGTCAGAGCAGAATGGGCTGACTGATTCAAGCTGACAGAAGAGCAACTTTGACTGAAATAACCACTCGTTACAACCGAGGAATGCAGCAAAGCATTTGTGAAGCCAACACGCACAACCTTGAGGCGGATGGGCTACAACAGCAGCAGACCCCACCGGGTACCACTCATCTCCACTACAAATAGGAACAAGAGGCTACAGTTTGCACCAGCTCACCAAAACTGGACAGTTGAAGACTGGAAAAATGTTGCCTGGTCTGCTGAGTCTCCATTTCTGTTGAGACATTCAGATGGTAGAGTCAGAATTTGGTGTAAACAGAATGAGAACATGGATCCATCATGCCTTGCTACCACTGTGCAGGCTGGTGGTGGTGGTGTCATGGTGTGGGGGATGTTTTCTTGGCACACTTTAGGCCCCTTAGTGCCAACTGGGCGTGGTTTAAATGCCACGGGCTACCTGAGCATTGTATCTGACCATGTCCATCCCTTCATGACCGCCATGTACCCATCCTCTGATGGCTACTTCCAGCAGGATAATGCACCATGTCATAAAGCTCCAGTCATTTCAAATCGGTTTCTTGAACATGACGATGAGTTCACTGTACTACAACGACCCCCACAGTCACCAGATCTCAGCCCGATAGAGCATCTTTGGGATGTGGTGGAACGGGAGCTTCGTGCCAAGGCCTTTCATGCCTCTGCTCATCTGAACTGCTTCACCTCTTTACAGCTCAAGACAAAACGGAGAACTCTCTTGACAAATACATAATCAAACAATGTTTGTTACTGACAGTTATGATGTGAGCCCAATGTTTAATCAATCTGTGAAATGACAATGTTATTACTTGATATTATAATTCTGTGATCAGTAGTATTTTACAAGTAATTATAATCTTGGACAGCTGCACTAGACACGTGATGACACAGAGTAATGCTAAAATCACATGACATATTTCCTTTTGTCTGATCCAATCAGAACCTTCATTTCTGAAGCGAGGCGGGGTTTTCTGTGGTGTTTGTATAAGCCCTCTTTTGCATGTCAAATTCTGATTAGCCAGTAAACCAAAATATGACAATTATAAAAACTATTCCCACGTCACCTTCAGTTCAGTTCAAAGAGTTCTCGAGAAGTTCGGACAGGCCATCCAAACTCCTCTTCAGCCGAAAGAACCTTGCTCGACAAGCTGGATAAAATCTGTTGCACGTTACACCTGACCGCAACGGTTCCTTCAAAATAAAAGCTGAACTCACAACCCCTTCAGGGTTTCGCTGACGCCAATAATAACCTGTCGTGACCTGGGAGCATTCTGAGACTAGACTGGTCGGGACCGCTGCTGTTTCTACCGGCTTTGGCATCAAGGAGGGTCCTAAGGACCTCGACATTCTGGATCTAAACGGATGCTTCCCCTGGGGTACGTAGACCGACAGATGGCGTTTCATGTGTGTTCTAAATCTCCAACTAAAGTTTAGAGCGAAACATTCACTCCCACTCAGAACTAAATGCTTCTCCGGATACGAGGTTCTGATAACAACATTCCACACATATACATCAATCATCTCACGTGTCATTCCACCTAGTTCATCAGTACACAGAGTGTTTAAAGCTAGTCTTGTTTAAATTGTGTAGAAAAAAATTTCTTAACTATTATAGACCTGACACTCTCTCTTTCCTCGAGATTAATACGAAGTGTCACCTAATCCCTGCAATAAACGTTTTGATCATCTGGTTAAAATATTCAAAGAACCATCAGATTGACATTTCATATTTCTATGGAATCTCACATTTTGTGGTTCATAAGTAAGATGTAAACTACCCATCGTTACACAATGAAACATTTTGATATTATGATCAGTAATGTTTGGTTTAACAAGTGAATCACTATCTACACTCATACACAATGTTCATAAAATAAAGTTAAAGTAATTTCTGCACATAGATATTTTCTTACCCACAAATCATCTGAAAGAAGGTGTGATGTTCTGAGGTTTGTTGTTAACACCTCTCAACATGGCACGTCCCGATTGGCCAAGTAAATCATAATATGAGAATATTAAAACAGGATCACTTGCGGAGCATTCCAGCATTCTGTGAGATTCAGCATTCAGTTAGTTTTAAGCTGAACTCCGAATTGGCCACCGGAGGAAACTGTAACCACCGCATCTCTTGAAAAGCTTTCGACAAGCTAAAAGCTGCCTACAGCTGACACAGCAAAACAGTTCCTTCAGCTATTCAGAAACAGCTGCTCTAGACGCAAACTAGTTCCAACCTGTGTGCCTGGTGACATCTCTGGACTGGAGTATTGGAGCTGCGGTTAATCTACTGAACCTCGGTACCCAGAGGTCATCCGACCTTCTTGGCCTCCGGATCCGCGAAGAGGGTCTCCAAAGAATGGGTGAGGTAGACACAGCATGATTGCGTCTGATGGCTTTTTGATAAGAACCAACTTCATAGTTTAATGTATACCAAATTCTTCTCACACCCAGAACTCAGTTCTTCTAGATACAAGGTTCTGAAAAACACACACCATTCAATCACCATACATTACATCCCATCCCCTTAGATTCATCCATCACAGTAGTCTTAGTTAACTTAGACACGCAGCTAGCAAAAGATACTTTGTCAGTCCTGAAAACTGAAACCAAAAACGCTTTAGACTGTAGACTGGCGCAGGCTCGGCCTTGCGAGAGTTCAGCGCAGGTGTGCGCTCTGAAGGGCCCTCGGTCGACGCGCAGGTGCAGTCAGAGTCATTCGACTGATTGATGACGTAACCTCGAGGAGCCTGAGACACCTTGTGTTTGACTGTTGAAGGGGGCAAGGGCGTAGGAACGAGTTTAATATTGGGGGGGACACATTTTGGAAATCTAACAAATCTGTAAATCTGTTGTAGGTCAATATAACAACTGCGCTCCTCTGACCAAGGCCTGCTCGCTGTCCCTCGTTCTAGGTGTCGTACTCGCGGGGACCGGGCTTTCTCAGTCCTAGCGCCGTCACTCTGGAACCAGTTGCCACCCTCAGTTAGGCTGTCCCCTTCTCTGCCAGTCTTTAAGAGTCACCTACAAACACACCTCCTCTGCTTGACGTTTCCTGAACATGTTTGATTTTGTCCCTCTTTTATGTTGAATTTATTTCACAGTTTTCATTGGTTCACTCAATCCATTGTTTCACACATTTGTCCTGTACCAGAATGTTTCACCTATTTTGTAATTTGTATTTTGTAATTTGTAGTTTGTAATTTGTAGTTTGTAATTTGTATTTTGTAATTTGAATTGCTTTTATTGTTGATTTATTCAATATATTTACCTTCAACTGAACCATGTTCAGCGCTTTGGGCTTCCTGACAGGGTTGCGGAAGGCGCTTTATAAATAAAACTTTGATTGATTGATTGATTGATTGATTGATTGATATATAGGTCAACTTCACAGAAAAAATACATTAAATGATTATTTCTGATTCTAACGTGTCACTGTGTTTCATGCAGGCTAAACATGAACATAGTCTTCTACCACTATCTCCTGCATTAGCTTCTGATAGACGGTGAAACTCTAGGATTAGAAAAGTCTGACAGATGTGACTCTGGGCGTAAGGCAAAGCCCAGAAAG